AAGAGACCTTCAATTTAAAAAAATCAAACAGCGAATTTTCATTTACTACTATTTACCACTAATTCGTCAACTCGCTGAGCTCCTCAGACAAAATTTATGATTTTTTAATTGTTCCCTTCTATTTTTATTGCGAAACACCTTCAATTTAAAAAATTCTAACAGTGAACTTGCTTTTACTACTATTTACCACTAATTCGTCAACTCGCTGAGCTCCTCAGACCTAAATTTAAGAGTTTTTAATTTTCCTCTTCTAATTTTATTGCAAGAAACCTTCAATTTAAAAAATACAAACAGCGAATTTTCTTTTACTTCTAATTACCACTAATTCGACAACTCGCTGAGCTCCTCGGACCAAAATTTAAGAGTTTTTAATTGTTCCCTTCTATTTTTATTGCAAGACACCTTCAATTTAAAAAATTCTAACAGCGATTTTTGATTTACTACTATTTACCACTAATTCGTCAACTCGCTGAGCTCCTCAGACCAAAATTTATGATTTTTTAATTGTTCCCTTCTATTTTTATTGCAAGAAACCTTCAATTTAAAAAATACAAACAGCGAATTTTCTTTTACTTCTAATTACCACTAATTCGTCAACTCGCTGAGCTCCTCAGACCAAAATTTATGATTTTTTAATTGTTCTCTTCTAATTTTATTTCAAGAGACCTTCAATTTAAAAAATTCAAACAGCGATTTTTCATTTACTACTATTTACCACTAATTCGTCAACTCGCTGAGCTCCTCAGACCAAAATTTATGATTTTTTAATTGTTCTCTTCTAATTTTAATTCAAGACACCTTCAATTTAAAAAATTCAAACAGCGATTTTTCATTTACTACTATTTACCACTAATTCGTCAACTCGCTGAGCTCCTCAGACCAAAATTTATGATTTTTTAATTGTTCTCTTCTAATTTTATTTCAAGACACCTTCAATTTAAAAAATTCAAACAGCGATTTTTCATTTACTACTATTTACCACTAATTCGTCAACTCGCTGAGCTCCTCAGACCAAAATTTATGATTTTTTAATTGTTCTCTTCTAATTTTATTTCAAGAGACCTTCAATTTAAAAAATTCAAACAGCGATTTTTCATTTACTACTATTTACCACTAATTCGTCAACTCGCTGAGCTCCTCAGACCAAAATTTATGATTTTTTAATTGTTCTCTTCTAATTTTATTTCAAGAGACCTTCAATTTAAAAAATTCAAACAGCGATTTTTCATTTACTACTATTTACCACTAATTCGTCAACTCGCTGAGCTCCTCAGACCAAAATTTATGATTTTTTAATTGTTCTCTTCTAATTTTATTTCAAGAGACCTTCAATTTAAAAAATTCAAACAGCGATTTTTCATTTACTACTATTTACCACTAATTCGTCAACTCGCTGAGCTCCTCAGACCAAAATTTATGATTTTTTAATTGTTCTCTTCTAATTTTATTCCAAGACACCTTCAATTTAAAAAATTCAAACAGCGATTTTTCATTTACTACTATTTACCACTAATTCGTCAACTCGCTGAGCTCCTCAGACCAAAATTTATGATTTTTTAATTGTTCTCTTCTAATTTTATTCCAAGACACCTTCAATTTAAAAAATTCAAACAGCGATTTTTCATTTACTACTATTTACCACTAATTCGTCAACTCGCTGAGCTCCTCAGACCAAAATTTATGATTTTTTAATTGTTCTCTTCTAATTTTATTTCAAGAGACCTTCAATTTAAAAAATTCAAACAGCGATTTTTCATTTACTACTATTTACCACTAATTCGTCAACTCGCTGAGCTCCTCAGACCAAAATTTATGATTTTTTAATTGTTCTCTTCTAATTTTATTCCAAGACACCTTCAATTTAAAAAATTCAAACAGCGATTTTTCATTTACTACTATTTACCACTAATTCGTCAACTCGCTGAGCTCCTCAGACCAAAATTTATGATTTTTTAATTGTTCTCTTCTAATTTTATTTCAAGACACCTTCAATTTAAAAAATTCAAACAGCGATTTTTCATTTACTACTATTTACCACTAATTCGTCAACTCGCTGAGCTCCTCAGACCAAAATTTATGATTTTTTAATTGTTCTCTTCTAATTTTATTTCAAGAGACCTTCAATTTAAAAAATTCAAACAGCGATTTTTCATTTACTACTATTTACCACTAATTCGTCAACTCGCTGAGCTCCTCAGACCAAAATTTATGATTTTTTAATTGTTCTCTTCTAATTTTATTTCAAGAGACCTTCAATTTAAAAAATTCAAACAGCGATTTTTCATTTACTACTATTTACCACTAATTCGTCAACTCGCTGAGCTCCTCAGACCAAAATTTATGATTTTTTAATTGTTCTCTTCTAATTTTATTTCAAGAGACCTTCAATTTAAAAAATTCAAACAGCGATTTTTCATTTACTACTATTTACCACTAATTCGTCAACTCGCTGAGCTCCTCAGACCAAAATTTATGATTTTTTAATTGTTCTCTTCTAATTTTATTTCAAGAGACCTTCAATTTAAAAAATTCAAACAGCGATTTTTCATTTACTACTATTTACCACTAATTCGTCAACTCGCTGAGCTCCTCAGACCAAAATTTATGATTTTTTAATTGTTCTCTTCTAATTTTATTTCAAGAGACCTTCAATTTAAAAAATTCAAACAGCGATTTTTCATTTACTACTATTTACCACTAATTCGTCAACTCGCTGAGCTCCTCAGACCAAAATTTATGATTTTTTAATTGTTCTCTTCTAATTTTATTTCAAGACACCTTCAATTTAAAAAATTCAAACAGCGATTTTTCATTTACTACTATTTACCACTAATTCGTCAACTCGCTGAGCTCCTCAGACCAAAATTTATGATTTTTTAATTGTTCTCTTCTAATTTTATTTCAAGAGACCTTCAATTTAAAAAATTCAAACAGCGATTTTTCATTTACTACTATTTACCACTAATTCGTCAACTCGCTGAGCTCCTCAGACCAAAATTTATGATTTTTTAATTGTTCTCTTCTAATTTTATTTCAAGAGACCTTCAATTTAAAAAATTCAAACAGCGATTTTTCATTTACTACTATTTACCACTAATTCGTCAACTCGCTGAGCTCCTCAGACCAAAATTTATGATTTTTTAATTGTTCCCTTCAATTTTTATTTCAAGAGATCTTCTATTTAAAAATCTCGAGCACCGAATATGCTTTTACTATTAATCACCAAATGAGAGAAAAATGCAGACATTCAAATGTATTCAAACTACCCATTTGCAGAAACTTTGGCATGCTGAAGAGTAGTAAATATTGCCTTATTCGCTTATGCAGCATTTTTTGCGCCAACACCCATTTTTCCGTCACATTATTCACAGTTTGCACAAAGTTTACTGTTAGTTAGATCCCTTAGTGCTCCAAGTCTTGCGTCACGTCGTAAATCCGCTGCTGAAATTATGCGTTCCACGTTGATGGTCGTGTTCGCTCGGAATTCAATTTACCCTGAAGAGTTTTATTCTCATAGGAGTGAATTAAAAACTTTAAAAATAAGTACATAAGGTAATTGTTTAAGTTGAAAACATCGATTAGGGATTGTGAAAGTAGAATTACTCGGTGAGACGGAAAGTTGTATCGATTGCTGGTGGCGCAGGTTGGCAGAAAAATTCGCCACTTTTTGTGCTCGCGGGCGAGTATCTGCAGCAGTTACTTTGAATTGCGCGGCTGCCCTCTTTTTCTGCCCGAGCCGGCACACTTGAGGCGTCTCTCTTTATCTTTATTTACATTTTCCCGAAGTCGTAAATAAAAAAGGCGCTGACCAAGGGCGTTCGTACTTTTGCGCCTCAGCCAAAAAACATACGGGCGCCCGCAGCATCACCTGTGCGCGCTTCGACTTTTTCGCATAGAATAATTTCAAACGAATAAACCCCCCTGTTTATTTTGCAGCGCGCCTGTGACGTCAGCAAATCTGTCTCGCTCGAAAAGTTTTTCTGCAAGGAAAATCCTGACTCTGTTGAGCTTTTTAAATGTTAGTTTAAACTTGTATACAAACAATCGTGAAAGTAAATAGCATCGTTTAAAAAGTTGCAATGTTCAGCTGAATTTTATTGAAATGACTGCACAAAAAGTTAAATTTTATGCAATTATTTGTTTCAATTTTCGTCAGTATTTCGTCAGTATATCGTCAGACGCAAAGTTGTATGACACTGAATGAGATCAGAGCTGAAAGAAATCAATGCAAAATAGGCATGTCACGGCAACGTGCATGTCAAAATTTTTCCTTCCCTTTTTTAAATCCAAATTATCATACAAATGGGTGAATGAAGTATGTAGAAAAAATATGGAAACGAAATCGGATATTATATTTAAATTTTTTTTGACTCTAGCAAAAACGAAATGAAACTGTCAGGAGTCGTTCAAGAAGATGCTTTCAAATTTTGAAATATTTTGTATTTGCAAATTTTTTTACACCTTTTTGTGTTTCATAGGATTTTCCCTCTAGACAAATAAAAAGAACTGTGTTTGTTTGCATTTTAAAACATTTCAAGCCATATTTTGCTACATTTGTTTCCAATTATCAATTTTCTTTTTTTAGTAAAATCAAATTATTTCTAGTTCTGGCTCTAAAAGTATTTCAATAAATGACAATACAAATAATATTTATAATCAATAATTTACTACCCTTTTGATTTACTTGAGCCACCAAGGCTGAAAATGTTATCATTTTGTAAAATTTATGAAACTTTAGACTGGATCTGTCAACTTTACAACCCCCAGCTGCAGCATCTATCCAATAGTCATCTCTCTAAACATTTAGATATATCATATCAGAGACGTTCTCCATCCATTAGTTTGGAGTCGGTAAACGACGAAGGACGCGCGCGGGAATTCTCCCCATTTAGAGAGCAATCAAAATTCGCGACGCAATCTGATGTAAAATTTACAACCCACGCAGGAGCCGTTCGCATCGACCAGGTGCTTATTTTAGAGTGAAAATCAAGTGTACATACCTGACGCCATGTTTCTTCTTCTGCCTCCGCAAAAGGTTCAACACCTGGAACATAAATTTACATTATTTGTAAATAAAATCCGAATCGGAAAACTGAAAAAAACGTAGCAAGACGAAAGAAAATTTCCTCCTTCCGGATTTCGCCACTGGCGGCGGAGGATTTCTTTCCGGCGTACTTATCTCTCTCTTGACGGCCACTTTGCGGGGGCACGTAAAAGAAAAGTGGGCCCATAATTTCGTTTCGCACTCTGCTTGGCTCGGGGGCCGAAGAAGCGAACGCCGTCGAATGACGAATTTTTGAGGTCCTGCGCTTTTATCTGGCCCGCGGCTGTGTTTACGAGAGCGAGTTCCCAAGGGTCTGGCCGTAAAAGAGCATCCTCGGCCGCTAATGGACGCAATCTGCACCAGCGCCCGCCGGCCAGATTCAAATTTATCGCTCCTCCAGCGCCGCTCGTGTGTCCGACGATCAATTGGCCATTGTGCAGCGGCCAAAGGCATTCGCAAATCGCCCCCACCTGGGCCTCGTCAACTCTTAAATCAACCCCCCGACCTGACCGCCGACTCGGCACAAAAATCGCGTCCGTTTTGCAAACGTCGTAGAATCGGATCAGAGGTGAAAAAAAAAAATCTTGCGGAATTCGGAGAAAGGAGTGAAAAAGTGCAAAAATAACATAAGTTTTCTGGCCAAAGGAAAGGAAAAAAAAAACGCTTTGAATGAAAGCTTTATTGTTGGAATAAATAAATTTTGGGAGTTTGTTTCATTAAATAATTTGAAATATTTTTAGCACCTCAAAAAATCCCATTTCTTGCAGAGTAAATTGAATCTTGCAGAAAAAAATAATCTAGAAATAATCGAACTTGGTACGATTCAAAACATATAATTATTTGTTTGAAAAAGTTGATTCTTCTGACATTTAGAGCCGCATAATAACGTAAGAACGAATGCAAATTACAGATTGGAAATCGTCCAAGTAAACAAAATTTTGCGTGTTTTTCAGGTTTTTCTTTTACCCCTTAAAAATATGATCATCAAACTTTTACTTTTTCATCAGAGATCTTTGAAAAAAAAACCTTTCATATTGAAAGCAAGGTTGTTCAACTTGAAATTTAAGACCAGAAATATTCCCCCAAAAACCCTAATTCATCTTTTCTGAAACTAAAAATGGAATCAAAATTTTAAATTCTGAAAGTTTATAGAAAGTCACTTTTTTAAGTCTCTTAATTCACGGATGAAAGCACAATCCATAAAGAAGTTTTTGCTCAACAGTTTTCTCTCAAAATTGTATTTAAGAACAAATTTATCAGTTCCTCGATCACGAATTTCAGATTTAAGTGAATGATTATTAAATAATATATTTGCAATTAAATTGGAATGGAAGCAATTTTTAGATTTATACATTTTGCAAGTTTGTGACGTAAACTTCTAATTCCATTTTGTAGAGAACGTTTCACTTTCTTTGCACTCTCATCATGAGTTTGTAATTATCGAGTTAAGCCCGTCTTGCTGAAAGAGGCACCCCTCAAGCGTTTTGAAATTACAACTATCGTTCACCCTTTACCCCTGCACCCCCTCCTCGGGGGAGTTTAGCCTCATTCGTCATTAAATTACGGTCTTGAGTGCTCTTATTCTTCTCGCGAGCGCTCATCCTCGTCCGTTAAACGGAGAGTCGGTCGCTCTCCTCGAGTCCTAACGCAGGCTAATGAGCTCGAATTGGGGCCGTAAATGGATTCGCAACAAGGGTTTGTTGTTTCGAAGAGCGGCGCCCGTTAACGTCCGCTCGTAAAAGGGATGAATAATATTTGGCCGCTTCAAACGGCGAAAATCCACAGCGCGCGCCATTCCATTATACACGCGTATATTATTTGTCCCCCGAGCAGAGCTTATAAAATATAACACTGGGCCGCCCTGCCAGCCAAATTAAAATTAATGCTCGGCAAACGCGGCAACTTAATTGTCCAATTAGGCAGCACCGCGTGAAAGGAATTTGAATCACTTGACTTACTAATTGAATTTTTTGCTTCCTGATGCTTCAATTCAGAATTGGTTTATATTAAAAATGGTCATATTTAAAGAGGCTAAAAAATTTGCACAAATTAAAATTTGAATTTTTTTTATTTGTCTGCTACTTATCTTCAAATCAGCACTGATTAGTACCACAATTGTAGCGATTTATCATGATGAACTTAAATTCATTTTAACTTTGTTCTATCACAATAAAGTAGCTTTGAAGCTAAATTAATTCAAGTTTGGCAGAAGGTTTATAATTATTCACAATTTTATCTTACAATCATATTAAACTTATGCATGTTTTCCTTTGAAATTCACGAATTTTTTATCTTTACTAGCCAAATTTACATAATTCTGCTTCAGTCAATTATAATTTTTAATTATAAATCATTTAAAAATACATGATTTGGGCACATTTGATGACTTAAGCAGCAGAAAAAAGTTGTATGCAAGTCTAATTAAAATTTTGATAAATATTGGGAAAAAATTTCACTGTGTGCATTAGCAGCAGAAAAAAATTTATTGTTAAATAAAACGGAGATTGCTGATTAAAACCCAACCAGACTGATGCCAATAGACTAATTCTATCAAAACTTACAAAAGCAATTTGGTTAAAATTATAAAAAAAAAATCTATTCAAGTAAATTTAACTTAAGATTTTGTTAACCAGGTGGGATTGAAATCAAGGAGATTCATCTCATTTTTAATTTCTGAATCAAAGTTCCAAAATTGAATCAGCAAAAACTCCATTTTTTTTGTGACATTTCATATTGGAATCAAACAAAATAAGTCATTGCTTAACGGTTACCGGAGTCTTGTATGTATTTTTAAACCCTTCAATATCAAATGCAACGTGGAAGTCGTTTTTCTAGTGAAGTGCTTCGAAATTGCATATTCATATTGAATCCAGTGTTTGCAAAGCAGAGGGAAAAATATGGATAAAAAGCATCTTCTCGCGGAGTAGTTTGTATCTCCCATGCGGCATTACATATTCACGGTTGCATGCAAATTGAAAAAGTAAATCGCTTGATATCGAGAGGAAGACGTTCAACGTGTGATTTAATGCACCCAGCAGAGACAGCGCGCGCCGAGAGTGCACATATTTCATCTCTCCATCCACGGCAGAGACTGCAAAAAAGAAGAGAGTTTTTATTGTCGGGAAAAAACGTCGACGCAGAGAGATGTGCGATAAAAACAATTGAGAGAGAGGACACTTTTTGTTCCAGTGTTTGTCTACGAGGCCTGTTTGCCTGCATAAATTAATTACAAGCGCCTAATCTCGCCGGGGCTAAAGAGATTCGTCCGCGGCCTTGTTTTTGAGCAGCCTCTTGTTCTCACGCAGAATCATGTCTGCAAACAATGCACACGCTGACGCCTCATTTTCTCTAATTTCTTTTTAAACTTTGAGGTTGTGCTAAATATTTTACATCTAAATTCAAATTTTCTACCTTAATCAGAACTGAATTTTAGCTGATATATTAATTAAATGACCATTTATTGCAAAAATGTGCAAAATTCAAATTTATAAAATTTTTTTTTAGGAATTTCCAAACCAAACCAATCATAATAAAGAGCTCAAATGCACTTCTGTTTAGTTTTGAAATTCTAATATCATTAAAAAAGTTCTAAAATTGCAGTCATAATTTTTTTAAGGTCTTACAATTTCGTCGAACGTTGAAGACTCTTTTTTTCACACCCACTCTAGATGGTTTCTGATTTCAAAGACTGCTGAGTGAGAATGACTAGATTACAAATTATTTCATGGAAAGTAACTCTTTTAGATCTTTGACTCAAGCGACGGGCGTTAATCAACTCTCTTTAAATTGTCACCTAAAACTTAAATTAAGCGAATCATCAAAGCGTCAGTCAGTCTTCTCGAGACTTGAAACGCGATGAGGCTAAAATGTTATATCACCTGGAGTTCGTCGCACAGATTAAATGAATGCGCATTCCACGAATCATTATCTCAGCAATGTTAAATTCTCTCTTGCAGAAATTTTTATTTTCCTCAATCTCGGCGAAGTATGCGCATGGGCAGCCGAGAAAAATCTCAATTAAAATTCTGCTTCGGTTGCGGCGAGCTGGTAATTTCGCGATGGAAATCCTCACTGACCTCGCAACTCATCACTTCGCATTTGCCCTTTTGCTCTCCACTTCCCGTCCGACCCAATACTCGCGGCACACTCGTTGCAATTTTTTTGTTTAGCTAGGCGGATTAATAGGCAGCACGAGCAGTCTGCACACGCTGACCGATTTCAACACAAAATGTGCATACAAATAGAAATGCACTTCTGCATTCCCGCATTAAAATGTGTAAAAAACATATACATTTTTTCAGACTTAAACACAATTAATAAAATATCATACTGGCATTGACAAAAGTTAATTATTTATTAAACTCAAGACCCTGATTAAAATTAGTGACAGAATTTTTCAGCGGCACTTGAAATTTTATAAAATACACAAAGCGAATTATCTGAACTAATTGCTTTGATTTTATGCTGATTGAAGCCCTTTTAGCATCAACTATAAACACAAATCATTTTGAAATTTCTTAGAAACACAATCAAAACGATTTAAACTGACAGGAAGACAACAAATTTGACTTCATTAAGTAAAAAGTAGATTTAAATAGTCTGTTACAAAAGACCAAAATGGAAACTTAAAAAAAGTTTAAAAATTTAAATAGTCTGCCTTTCTATTAGTTCACATCGATTCAAATTAATTTTTATCAAGCAGCTGAAAATAGCAATGCGAAAAATGAAAATTTATTTTTAACTATTTTAATGAATCGTGTTGTCAATGAATCGGAAAATCCTCCCACGGCTAGCACGTGCGCGTCTCCGTATTGATTTTTGAGGTGATTTGCGCGGAGAATAATTGTTGTTAGACGCGCGGGCGGCTCTCTCGCGTGCAGATAAAGAGAGCAGTCACGCGAGCACAGCAAATAACATTTTATCTCGGCTCCTTTGCTTGAACGTGCATGTGTTCATAAATTCCGGGCTTGTTCGCTCCTCGTGTAGATAGCGTCAATTTTTATCGCCGAAGCGCGCGCAATAGCACAATACGCCGCGAGTTTAATTAGTTTAATGAGACGCTCATCCCTTTTGATAAAGCAGGTATAGAACTCTCATTGCACAAGAAGCAACGCAATACCTCAACTTTTGCAACGTACGAAGAAGAGGAGCACTGCCGTCTCTAGTTGTAAAATTATTTCAACTTCAATAAAACAAAACAATGCCGTTTGCACATGAGAGAAATTAAAATAATGACAAGCAGCTTGAGCCCGCATTGAAACTAATGAAACTATTTTCAGATATTCTCCTTTGCATTCTAATTAGGCTAACGATTGCAAGCACGATTTGAATTTGAATTTTATTATTTATAAATTTCATTGGTCCACTGCATATGAAAAATTGCTACTTCAATTTAGCTCAAAATTTGTAAAACATCTGCATAAAAATTAAATGAAAATTTTCAAAATTTTGATGAGGAAACAACGGCCTGATTATGCATCATTAAATTACTTCCACTTAAAAATATGAAGTCTCAGGAGCTTTGTTACTTTTTTTTTAAATTGCCGCATAAACCCATTTAACAACATAAATTTTGCACCTCAACTACTTTAGATGACAATTAAGTATGCTTAATTTGAAAAATGTAATTTAGGATTATTATAAATAATTAATAAATATTAATTCTTTAATTTCTATAACACAAACGTAACGATTTTCAGAACAAACTGAACAATAATATTATAAAATGATTTATTATTAAAATTAAAACTAATAATTAATAATTCGATCCAAAAAACTTGTTTAAAATAACCTTTGTAGATATCAAGAAGTCTCATGGTTTTATCACTTTGATTTGGTATTCCTGGTGCGTGTCTCCATGTGTCTCAATGACAGAATTCAGAGCGTGTAGACTGGCTTTGAACGTGTCTCTCTCTCTCCACCGCCGATGCTTCCCAGAGACAAAGAGACCGCCCGCTTAATGCGATCAGTGCCGCTCATCGCACGAGTTGCTTAATTAATTAGCTAATCAGATAGCAGTGCGGCAAAAAGCGATTCTAACTGCTTGAGAGGAGCGCTCTCAGGAGAGTTTCTTCTATATTTAACGTAATCGTTGCCTTTGCAAAACCACTTTCCGCACTTGCAATTTATTTATTTAAATTTCCGAAGCGCGTAGACGGCGCCTGCTGGCGCCGCCTTTGTCCGAATCAAAATATCCCGCGCTAATCGCATTATCAAAAAGTCGTCCGCCTCTCTAATTACTCTCGGATCCATTAGGGCTGCTCCGCATGCAAACGGCCCGTTTATTTCATATGCAAATCCGAGTCACGCTTTTTGATTCGTTTTTCGTGTAATTCGATGTTCTGCAGTCGCAAAGGCAAAGTTGATCTGCAGCAAAGGTCGCGGCTTCAAAGAAACGAATTGCAATCCATCCGACGGTGACGCAGTGAACAAACCACTCTATATCCTTTAATGCATCTGTGGGAAAATAGACTGCGGTACTCTTTATTGGATCGGCTGCATTTTATTGACCTTGTTTTGCGGTTTCTTTCTCTTCTAAAGGGATGATTCAAACCTGAAAGGAAGACTTTGAAGGGCTTTTTTCCAATAATTGAGTGGTTTTCTTTATGTGTAACGCAAAATTTTATTTATTTACTTTTTTAATAATCGACTAATAAAAATAGCTCGGTTAAATGCAACCTGCACGACACAGCTGTGTAGAAATTGCATAATTTTGAAAGTTTAAAAACGCAGTTTGATGTCACTTTTCTGCACATCCAAATCCAGTCTGTTGTATCATTTTATTACTTTTACACCAAACCGAAATAAAAAGTTCTGAAATTATCACTACTAAAATGCAACTGATTTAAATAGAAATTATATAACAATGACTACAAAAAGTCCAAAACACGTTAAAACTAAACAAAATTGCTTTTGAAAATTGCTGTTGAAATTATGAAGAGTTAATGAAATTTTTGGTTTATTTAGAAAAAATACAAAAAAGTAGTTATAGTGCAAATTTTACAGAGCATGATTATTTTTCCATAAAAATTGGAGCAGTAAATATTGACACCATACGTCCTCATTGTGACTTTTTGCTTGTTATTTTTCCAGCGAGCTGATTTACATTTGGAAAAACACACTCTGTCACTATGCAGGAAAAAATCGGTGTTTTGGTTTACGTGTCAGATTAATGGTGTGAAAAGCGCTGATAAATACGAACGGCTTCTATGAACTTCCTGGAATTGTTCCAACTCGACGTGTGCTCGTTCAACGGAATTTAATTTTGGAAATAAAGCCTGCTAATTAATCTATTTGAATTCAAAACTTCTTGTGATTTACGTCTCAATTTAATGTACAAGCCGTGAATCTACGCAGGGTGTGTTATTGTCTGCGTGTCGAAACTTTTGTGTTATTTCCTCGGGGGCTTTAATCGCCGGCCACCCGCGTCTATAAACTCTCGTAGGAAATATTTTAAGCGTCCGACATTGCGTTCTGCTCGCTCTCCTAGTCAATAAAGAATTTATTTCCATCCACTAGAGTGGAAGAGCTCGTGGAGAAAAGAAATGAATCCGCCGTGCCCAGGAGCTAGCCGAAGCCAAGAAAGTTGGCCAATTACGATGGATCTTGACACTAGCAGGGCCAAAAACTTAAGAGACGTAAAAAGTTTGATAAAACTTTCTTTGCATTTGATTTTTTGACTAATTTTTGTTTCGTGACTTATTTCTCATGCTATGAATGTTATAAATTAATATTGAACGTATGGATGATGTATTTGGGCAGAGAATGCCCGGTGATACATTAATAAACACAATTTGCAACTAAATGTTTTAAAACAAAATTCTTTATTTCTTCAATCAAGATAAAAAAAAACAGTGTAATTATCTACTTAATAGATACTATGGGTGTTAATTAACAATGATTACAAAATATACTTAAACTTGATACTTTTTTACAAAACAACTTTTTCACTCAGCTGCAAGTACTATGAACATAAATATGTTTTGAAGAATATCATTATAAATAAAAGAAATAAAATATTAAGAAATAGAGTAAAAAAGATAATAAACAATTAATAAACAAAATAAATTTTGGTTAAATTATTTAAAAAAAGAATGAAAAACAACTTATTTTTAACACTGTTAAAACTATTATACAGCATTGACCAAATATTAAGCAATTATTTAATTACATCCAATAAATTTTTTAACTATTTAACAATTAAATATTATTCATGCAAATCCAAATGCTGAAAATGGCTAAAAAATTAACAGGTTTGGTTCTCGTTTTAATAATGTACTTTTTAAGTGAAAATTTTTTTATGACATGACAAACAAAAAGTTTGATAATTTCGTTTGAATCAAAATCAAACTAATTGGTTTTTATTGTTAATTCTACTCAATTGTCTTAAAAATTTTAACAGACAATAGTGATATAATGTATTTTTAAAATCAATTTTAAGCGCAAAATACTTTGTTGAGAAAATTTAATATCAATAAAAGTGAATAATTATTAGAAACAATAGAAACGAATATTTAATCATTTTACTCTACAACCCCTAGTTTTGTAAATTTCAGGAACAGTTCAGGATTAATAATTGGTGGTTCCAGCACTGTTTGGTGCATGTGTCTCTCTTGAAAAGAGCGTCGTTTGGTATTTTTACAACGCTTGGGTTGAAAACAGGCCTCGCCACGCCCGCTCGTCCAACAACAATAAAGGGTGAAGAGCTCGTCGTCGTCGTCGTCGTAAACAGGCCGCGCGCGCTTTTGGCTGGCAAATAATAACATAGGCGCGCGCAGCACCGCGATATTGCGGCTCGGCCGAGTTGTAAACGCCGCGCGAAGTGCATCAGACGGCACACTTTTTACAACCAAATATAACGTCGTCGTTGATATTTATTAAAACGCAAAGCTTGTCTATTGCAACGAATTTCTTACACCGAAACGACCCCCGACTTTTATTTGCATTCCTAAAGACCCGCTTTCAACCCTTGGA